AGGAGGAGAAGAAGAAGAAACATACAGAAAAAGCAATATGGTTTCACCACACCACTTCGTGGTGTGGTGAACCCATAATGAAAGAAAGCAAACCCATCTTTCCTCCTGTTGTTCCCAGTGTTGACTTGATGGAGAAGCTGGTGCGCTCCCCCAGCCTGTTTGTCATGCAGGTAGAGATGGACGTGTACACCATGCTCAAAAAGGTAAGGTTTTCTCATCTTCATTTTTCACCTTCACCCAGTCAATTGATGCCTTCCAACATAATGAGACCACCTTTGCTTGAATGCTAGCATCAGGTGTAGTTCAGCAGAGATGTCTAATTGTGTGAGAACTTCAAGGTACATTGTGCATTCATAGATGTCCACATGGTTACTCACTAGGCTTGGGTACTTAAACACAATATCAGGTACAGGTACAGGGGTTTAGGTACAAATCTGGACCTGTACTTGAACTATTCAAATTATTTGACATGTACGTTCTTCTGACTTTCTTCTAATACAATATAAACAGTACTACCTGCACAGCTCCAATTTTACCTGCACATTGGTGGTGATGCATCTTGGCGGTAATGCATCTAATGCACCATGTTGCCCATGTGTATGATGTTTTTGAGTCTCCGTTTCCTCCCCAGTGGTCCTTCCTGAAGCTGCACCCAGACTGGAACCTGCCAATCAAACAACTCATGTCTGAGACAGACCAGTATTTTATTGGCAGAAACACAGGTACATTTCAACTTCTCATGTCCGATGAAAAATCTTGTAAACTTTCCACTATATTACATGTTACTTTGCTTCTAGCATAAGTCAGATTAAAAGAGTCATCTGACTTAAAGTAGTATGTAATTAAGATCCTAAATTGCAAGAGTCTTTTCATAGTTTGTAGTGAAATTTTCGATACCATACATTTGTGTGTACAACATACAGTCAAAGACTCAAACCTGCCCAAAAAGGCCACCCAAGGGGACCTGAGGTAAAGTGGTCTTCTTGGACAGGTGGGCAGGTCACTTAATGCTTGCACCTATGGAAAAAAATTGTTGACCAGGAAAAGGTAGTTTTTATGGGCAGATTGCCAGCTTATAGAGGTGGTTGCTTGGGTAAGTTCAACTGTGATACAGTTGAAAACTAGAGCAAAAGCAAATGCATAATGTTTACCTTCGGACATGGTCTGCCCTGTTAATTTTTGTTCAAACACATTCACATACATGTACTACGAGTATATGGTGAGCAGACCATGAAATTGCAACATTATGTAACCCAACACTAGTCACCATGGTGGCAGACGTCAACAAATCATGTCTTTGGCCAGGTCAGAGGTTAGTGTTTGAAACAGAAGAGGAGAAAGAAACAACAATATGTTTTCCTTCAGTAAACATAATGAAAGTCTTGTCCCACTGTCTCCACACCTTAGATACAGCTGATCCTGTCAGCTTCTTCCTGGAATCTGGGGAGGGTCGACAGTTTGTGAGCGTGTTCCAGAACATCCGACTCAAACACATCATCAACGACCTGATGTCAACTAAGGTCATCAGCCGGGACAAGATCATTCCTATAGGTCAGGAGACATGCAACAGTCTGACAAATATCTTAAAGGACAAATCCAATACTTTCAGTTTTGGGGCCTTTCCACCCAAAATCCTATTTGTAAATGGTGATTTATTGGTTTCTGCCAACCCCGCACATATTTGCGGTGATATCTGACATGCTCGATGTTCCCAGGCTAGTGCCCGATTGTCCGCTAGGCGGCGTTGCGACTGGACCTGTGACGTCACCACCGGTTATATTGGAACAGATTTAGATTTGGAACGCGCGCCATTTTTCAGTCTGTCTGCCAGTACGTAGCTCGCTGCAAGTATGCTGCGTTGTGCGAGTTGTGGCTGTTGGTGTGGTCCTGCGTCCAGAATATAACCGGTGGTGACGTCACAGGTCCAGTCGCAACGCCGCCTAGCGGACAATCGAGCGCTAGTCGGGGAACATCGAGCATGTCAGATATCACCGCAAATATGTGCGGGGTTGGCAGAAACCAATAAATCACCATTTACAAATAGGATTTTGGGTGGAAAGGCCCCAAAACTGAAAGTATTGGATTTGTCCTTTAAGATCTCAACCACCTCTTGCGTGTTACATTAATACATTTGCTTTCACCTTCAATGTAATAACCGAATATTTGTCATTCTAACACATGTACTCTTGTCATACAAGTAAAATGAAACAAAAGTACAACAAAAGCAATCATTATTAATACAGAAGAAAATAGGGAGAATCCATGGACTGACTACTGGTAACTTATTGTGTGAGTAAAAGTGTGAGTGGTAGCAATACTTACCAATCCCTTGTAAGGAACTGAACTGTGATGTTTGTTATGTTCTGTCTTTTGTTTCCACTTCCAGGTTGGATGTTACCAGTGTTCCAGCAACAGTGGCTGGCTATGCTCTGTATTGAGCAGGACACCAACCAGAGGTACATTTTTAGATAAGTTCATGAATATACTCTGGACCATAAAGGAAAATAACAACTATACATACATGTAGTGCTTTAGCTGAATCTAGATCCTTAAATTTTGTATAGCCTCCTTTGCAGACTTCTTGGAGTGGTGGCATTAATTTTTTAGGGGAGCACTGATACACATTTTTTGTATGTGTTCTCAAACGTGTTATACTGGCTGCGGAGGGGTTATGCCTCTCCAACAAGCTCTCTCCATAGATACAGCTCCCCCCCCCCCCGTCAAAAAGAAAATCCTGCTCTAGCCGCGCATAAAAAAAACACTGCCCCACTAGAAGTCTGCACAGGAGGCTATAAACCTAATGTTATGTATGTTGTCACTACTGTATAAGATGCATGAACTTGTTTAAAATTTCAAACTTTTGGTCCAACACAAAAATACTCTAACCTAGAGCTTTTGACCAGAGTCGACAAGAGTATTTTGTGTTGGACCTAAAGTTTGAACTTTAAACAGTAATGTAACTACCAGCACAGATGAACTTTCATGATGCATGAACTTGTTAAGGATTTTGGATGTTGTGTTTTTGCAGTGCCCTTAATGACATCTCAGAAGTGGACTTCAACAGACACTGTATGAGATGTGGGAGGAAACTGCCCAAAGATGGGGAGGTGAGTACAGAGGGACTGATGAGAGAGAGGGACAGTCCTGTGTTCTGACACCCCAATGTTCTGACAGTAACAACCCCATATATAGTTCCAACAACCCAACAATGTAAATGTGTTGGCATCAAATGGCTAGCTAGAGTGGTAAGCTTGCTAGAAGATACAAGATGAAGGATTCCTGGGATTCTTGGCAAGATGTTGTGTCCTTGGAGAAAGCACTGTACACGACTTTCCTCATTCCACCCAGCTGTAAGATGACTTGGCTTGGCCTTCCAATACTGTGCCTGAAAATGGCTATGGGACTACCTTCTTTTTTTTAATCAGTTTGCATGCACAGTGACATTTTTACCAGGATGTTGTCTCTGTTGTCTCTCTTTTAGTACTGTTGGAGGTGGACTGGTTTTAACTATGGTCTGGACCTTCTAGTGACGTACACAAACGGGTAAGTGTGCCCTTGTGCTCTTGAACAACAGATCTGTTGACATCTATTTATTCTGCATGTCTCCCATCCACCAGTCTTCCTATTGTAGTTGTTGTCTGCTGTTTTCCAGGCTTCTGTTCCTGAGAAGAAACACGACCAACCGACCGTGTGCCACGTCAGTCAGCCTACAGGCTCAGAGACAAGTCTTTGCCAGGTCAGTTGCTTGTTTGAACCATTCTTTATTCATGAGAAGCTCAAGTCGGCCTTTACATGTGAACACAAGTTCAAGAGGTCACTGGTTCGATTCCTTGCATTTTTGGCTGGACACTGTGTCCATGTGAATTTCGGCACTTTACATAACTTTCCGTACTTCACTTTTGTTGGGGAGGTAAAAGGCAGTGAAAGAGCAGAGGGATGGGCTCCATTTTCCGATACTGCACTAGACACAGTGGATTAACAACTCAATGCCTCAAAAAGGCTATGAGACTACATTTACGTATCTGTATCCGTATAGTAACACACCAGCTTTGCAGGCACGCAGCGCAGTGGCAGCTGGCTACATTACACCGATCGACTTGTTACACCTAACCCTTGAACATCTAACTCTAGACATTGTTTAAAGCTATCTAATGACAATGCCCCTAGCTACTTTGACAGCGAGTTCCACTCTGTGATAGTTGTAGGAAAGAATGAATTCTTGAACACCTCAATCCTTGGTTGATAACTCTGGTACTTGAAGGCATGACTATTACTTGTTCTCTTCTGGGCTGGTATTAGGTACCTTTAACTGAAGGAATGGACTCACCAAACTTTAGATCAGACGTGTGACTGTCATTTCTTCTAATGTTTTTGTGAATCTTGCGTGTGATTTTTCAGGGTGTCCGTGGTGTCCTATGATACCAGTGGGGAACTGAAGTATGAGAAACATACCAAGATGACCAAACTCTCTCTTGGCAAAGATGAGGTACGTTACAGCTCAGTTCTGTACTCACTAGAGCCCCCCTGTCGTCCGATGTGCAGAAAGTGCAATATGGGAAGAATGGAATGTACTTCACTCTTAAAAAATGGGTCATTATTGAGATTGACGTATGCAAAAGTTGCATTTTTGTCCTTACTCAGAACAAATATATTTACCACCCACTTCGGTACTTTAGTTTTCTTGTACCTTGTGCTATTCTCTGTCCATTTTGTTTCATTTTGCTTTATATTTCGTTGCATTTTGTCCCATTTTGTTCCATTTCGCACTTTCCATACACCCATATTGACATCTGAACAGTGAAGGTACAATATAACTTGAATCATTTTTCTACTGGGTCTACCTGTCACGCAGATTTGAAATTGTTGAAAACTACTGACTTGATAAAAATGAATGTACACTTTTTTTATTGTCAAATTCTTTCTTTCCCAGGAAACCTTACTGATGACTGTGGACCGCCAGGCCACATTTCCCCTCCATGTCAGTGTCAACTTCCTCTACGTTCCCCCTCCCCCGTCACAAAGTGGTACGTCCCAAACAAAAGACCCACCCAGCCCTGCAGCCAATCAGGACAGACATGTAGAAGGCAGCTTGTAGTAGAAGAGTTTCTATTGGATATGGGTTATTCCATTTTGAAATATCAAGGGGTATCATTTTTTCATTTCAAGACGCTAGAGTTTTGCAGCCAGAGAATCTAACATAGTTGCATCACACTTTCGATTTTATAGTTTTCTTACCCTTGTTTTGGCAAAATTTTTTCCAAAAAATACATGTACATCTATGTAGAAAAGTTACATATAGGATCCCCCTACTTTTCTTTACAAGAATTATCCCAAAAATTATAAGAATGATGTCTTTCGGGCCAGTCTACTATGGGTTTTAGGTGGGGAAAACTTTTGATGTTTTTTGGGGCCAGTCCACTATGGGTTTTAGGTGGGGAAAACCTTTGACATTTACATAATTTCCAAATTTTGCCTGACAGCACCAAGCAAGCCCGATATATGCCCGATATATAGTTCCAGCATGACCAGTTGTTACCATTTGTGGAGATAAGTTTGGAACCCCAGATGATGCTATCTATGAAATAAAAGATTGAGCCATTCTAATTCTATTCTGAGTTTTACATCAACTATTCAAAAACTTCTGAGAAACTTTTAGCATGGTATCCAGACTTATTTTAGCAGCCGGGTTCCTTGTGTCCACTTTTCTGAGAGGACAAAAGAGACTGGACAGCTATGTCCACACCAATTTAATTTGTTGTTTCTCGGATTTTTTTCAGAAAAAAAAAATGAAGCGACAGGGCGAAATTAAAAAAAAACAGGCCAAGGCACCCCATGATAGCCGGAAATGTTACGATATGAGCCATGAAGTGAACGTACCAGGCTGGTTTATAATTAAAACAATAGATTTTGAACTTTAAATAAAATAAAATTGCATTGTTACATTGAAAAACTTTAAGAACTAGGAAGAAAATAACTTTCTTCAACCATTGGGGCCAAAACACGTCTTTCATTGAGCATTTTGCAGTTAATTTAGAACAAAAAAAAATTTTTTTTTTTTTTGCAAATCAGAAAAAAATGGACAGGGCAAATCCGAGAAGCAACAAATTGAATTGGTGTGGCCTAAAATAGGTTTGGATACCAGGCTAGCAAGAACTTAAGGCGAATGAACTGGCTCGTATTGGTATCATTGTTACCTGTGACACCCTCTCGTACAATACACTATTTACAAGTTAGAGCCAAACTGGAGGAAGCATGAAAATTATTCTAGAAGACAAAAAAAGGCTCTAATGATCCTTATATATGTTGTGGTTTGTTGGATAGTGTCAAGAGACTTTCTTTTGGTTATAGTTTGATTTTTCTGATAATCTCGAGGGCAAAATGAAACAAAACTCAACTTATGGAATGTGCAGTATATGTCTTGGTTTTACTTTGCTAATTAGTATTGATTAACTATATGGTAACATTACATTTGACGTTGGTTTTTAAGTCTTTTTGGTATCGATATAAACCATTCATATCAAATGCAGTTAATATCAAAACTTTAATTTCAACACTGTCAGGACTCAAGATACATTATTACTCTTTTCTGTATTAAATAATTTGTTATATTACCAAGTCTGCAAATTTTTGCCTCCCAAATTGCACATCTTTTTCTGAACTCCCACAAATTTTCTCTGCAGATTTACGGTGGGTATTTCAAGCCCTGTATTCATTTTGAGACACTCAAGGTGCTTTGAAACCAGCTTGAAGAAGACTAACTTATTCTTGTATATGCTGTATAGTAACTATGGTTAAAGATTTCATTGGATTATTGTAGTATATGTATCAGGGACCCATGTTATGTGTTCTTTTAGTGTAATATGAGAAATTGTTCTTATTTTGCAGCAATGTATCTAATATATGGCAAATCAAATCATATCGAAACTGAAAACTTTTTGCATCTAGCCACATCACGAGTATGAATTTGGCAATGTTTAACCTATTTCATTTGTGTGCCATTTGCATATAGCAGCTCCAGATGTCAGAATATGGTGGCTATTTATGTTCAGCCGTGCTTTAATGTGCCAGATAACTTAATAACAGGTGCAAACAGAACAGGACTACAAAAATGGCTTAGATCTCAGGGGCGTTACGTCGTTTCCATTCACGTTCAAACGTTCAAAAGATAGGACGATGGCAGAACGTACTGTGCCTGTGCAAAACTCGTATTGTGCATACAATTCGCCATTTAAGGCCGTATTCAAGGATGACATTCTATCTATAGTTTTGAAACGATATCGTCTGCAAGGGGCAAAATTCTGATGCAACGTTGACCAAGCAGCCAACGAAATTCATTGGTTTCGCAAAGGCACAGTACGTTCTGCCTAACTCCTTGGTTCTGTCGACGTACTTTCTAAGATTGTGCATCTTTGAACATGTTTTGACCGTTGATGGAAATGACATGATCCACCTTGTGATCTACACAGTTTTCTTTGTAGTCAACAGAAGTGTGAACTGGTTCTTGTGGTTCTTGGTATAGACTGTGCCTCTGAAGAGACCAGGCCAGAACAGGAGTTTATGTGTTTACGAATTAAAATAAAGTGATGAAGCGAATATTTTATTATGCAATGTCACATATTGTGTCTCACATATTGTCATGTATTGAACCATTTAATGATTGTGCGTGACGTTTAATGTTCCATTCTTAGACATGTCCCATAATTTTTTGCCTTCCCAGAAGAAAACATAGTTACTGTTTTTCCTTTTTCCTCTTCTCCAAAACACATTTTTATAAGGTCAATGACCTGGACCGGAGTCTGTCACCATGGTAACTGATGCTGTAGCAGACACCCTGTGGTGTTGGGTTACATTTCATAGCAGGCGAGAGGTGGAGGTGTTGACCTCCATATTTTATGTACATGTACTAGTATAAGAATGTGTTCCATTAAGATAAACAAATAGAAAGAATAAACAGCAGTAGTTTGTTAGACCACTGCATGTGAAAGTTAACACTATACATTTGCTTTGCAAATGTTACTTTTCTAGACAGTTTGAAACTAAATTTTGAGATTTAATAGCAACTTTTTCCACAAGTACATGTATGTACTACATACTATTTCATCATCGTCATCATCTACTATTTACAAGAAGTTTGATATACATATTTACAAAATACTATATACTAATAAATACACATAATATTAGTATTTATATATATAAAATGCCTAAACGTTGACAGACGTTGTTATGTATATTATTTCAATATCTTAAAATGGTTATTTTCATGCCATGTGACACTGACATCAGGGACCATCACCCTTCATTGAACCGCGACGGGGGCCGACATCGTCTACCAGATACCTTTGACCCAGTCTTGACGTCACACTTCAAAGAAGCCACATGACAAGCTCCACTGGGTCAGTCTACTGAGGGAGACCAGAGTGACTGGTCGAAAGCTCTAGGTGGGAGAATTTTTTTGTGTTGGACCAAAAGTTTTAACTTTAAACATGCGCTGCAAAGTGTTAAGCTGACCCGCGCAGTGTGACATTGTCCGTTTCAAAGTCTTTTTCCACCAGCACCTGCTGCCTGTCACAGAACACGTGACGTAATCCCGCGTCTGCGCAGAACTGCCGCACGCCCTCCAGCAGGTCGGCTGTGACGTAGAGGTAAAACCTGATGACGTCAACCGCGCGAGACGACACGCCCTCCATATGTGTGACCAGGTGCGCCTTGACAGAATTCAAGTCTCTCCCGAAACAGTCTATATTGTACCTCAGGCCTTTTTCGACGCCATAAGAATGACTAACGGTGACAGTCAACTCTTTGTTAACGTTGTGGCTGGCAAAGACGTTTCTGGTGTCCAAGGAGTTT